CTGCTAGTTGCGGTATGCTTTTTGGCACAAAAACGCTCTGCAGTTGTCGGGAGAAGTGGGGTGGCTTCCAGCCTGACAACCCCACACCTGCATCCGACATGTTCAGGCTCCCCCCGCGCGTGTCCCAGGCTCGTTTAGTGAGTGCTGCCCGCTCAGTCCCAGCGAGGATGTTTGCATGCCGCTACTTGATTCCTTGTTGGCACTTGTTGAGCCGGATAGCAGCACTGCTTGGGAAAGCGTTGAGGAGAATGTTGCTCCCTTGGAAGTCCTGCCGAGACTTTCTCTGAGTGGAGTGTCGTGCCCCGGCGGGCCCTTCGCGTCGTCAGGGAGCCTTTACTTGTGGGCTCCCTGATCCACCTCCTGGCATCCTTGCGCAGGACGGGCCGACCTACAGGGCACTTGGGCCCCACAGCTGCTTGGCTTTAAGCTTTGTTGCAAAGACATCCCGGATATTCTCGCCGTGAGCTGCTTTCAGTTTCACCCGAGAATTTCTTTTGCTAGGAGAGCGTCCGACTTGGACACCACCAGAGAGAATGGAAAAACTTGCATCTGCATCAATGTCGCCTTGACCGTGTCATGGGGATCCAGCGTAAGCTTCACGAAGGAATACCTTGCCATGAGCTCGTGAGGGCGAGAAGTGCTTCCCACAAGCTGGTGAAATGCGTTGCTTTCCAGGCCGCTCATTCACAAACTCGAGTACTGAGTTGACCTGGGTCTGGCTGATGCACCAAACACATTCTAGCAGGAAGGTACAAGCAAGGGGAAGCAAGCAGAACGCCTCAACATCCAAAGGCAGCACATCTAGCCTGACGCATCTTGCATGCTGTGAAATAGGTTGGCAGCCCAAGAAACCGAAGTCAATACAAATCAATGCCTCGCCATGGTGAGGATGGCATCCAGAAGCACTGGGTGATCCTGCGTGAAGTACTTGATCACCTCGTGCACTGGCGTTCTTTGATTGTTTCTCAGACACCCGGTCTATGATGTCGCTCTCCGGAGTTTTGGGGATGCAGTCCCCTGTGTCTTGGTGTCGGATCCAACGCTAAGCAGGCTGCCTGCTGATTCCGGCTGTTCGACGGGTGCAGCTCAAGCACGCAGCGATTCTTCCACTTCCGATCCACCGATGTTCTTGCTTTTTGCCGGGTTTGGAAAGCGGAGCTGAATACAGCTTCACTGAATGACCAGTGTCTCTGCGACAACGTTGCACAGAGAATCCTTTGACTCCGAGGTCATCGGAAAGCTGGCGCCCGAAGAGATGAGACGAAGACCCTCGTGGGCCCAGCAACAAAGTACAGGCACCAGACCATTTTCTAGATGAAGAGTCTCACAAGGACGCTGCACAGGCATGCAAACATGCCCTTAGAAGATTTCTGCATTGGATTAGCCAGAAGAGCCTTTTGACAACAACGAACAATGAGACGTGTTAGCGCCCCTTGCCGCTCTTTCACAACCCGAGGATGACAAACGCCAGGACGAGGACATGATCGTGCCTCGGCCAAGCCTTACATCGACATGTTGGCCAATTGCCAATTGCTGTTACGGATCGGCTGTTCAGAGACTCCACCCGCTTTCAGCAGTGCGACTTGAGAACATCCGTGCACCCGAGCGATGAAGAAGCACCAAGAGCCCTTCGAACCCCGCCAACAACAGCGACTGGAACTTCCAGCCTCAGCTTTGCGGCCAGTGCTGAAAGCTCGTGCATTTCGTGTTCCTGCTTCGAAAGGTTAACAACGGTGCCGGTCGGGAAGACAACGGTGGCCTTGGAAAATCAACACTGGAAACCGTGGGAGCAAGCGATCAAACAAATATCTGTGCGGTCTTGTCAAAGTCTGGCTTGGCATCTACGCCGACTTTCAATCTTGGAAGTCCAATAGCGTCGATCGGATTGGTCGCGGAGGCTTGACATGCAAGGTTTGCACCGGGAAGGCATGGCCACCCGGCTAGATGTTGTGTTGCACGTTTCGTGCTGCCTTTCGCCACTATTGAAGAAGCTCCAATTCTGCAAACTCAGATAAAAAGACTCTGTGCGCGAATCGGGACGCCTGAGTTCGATGTTCAGGAACTGGAGTGCAGATGCATGTCACGACAGCTTGAAAAGATGGCACATATTCTGGTGCCTGCTTGGGCTCGCAACTTTGAAGGATGTCGTGCATGACTTCCAAGTTCCTCGGGACTTCGGGCTTCTGTTTTAGGTTCGACTGTGCCACACGATTGAGACAAATAGCTCGCACAGCTCTTTGTCGGTGAGGCCATCTACGTTTTCCACTTTGGTCAAGGCCTGACCCCACAAGCAGCGACAAGCACAATCCACGCGGCCGCAGCAATATGAAAGGTCAGCACGGGCAGTAGGTCTATGACTAACATCTCTTAATATCTCTTCACGACCTCCAGAATGGTCTTGTCCATCGGGACTGTGCGCCTTCGCGACATGACCTCGGATGCCAGGATCTCTGCCGTCGACCGAACGGTCCGCCTGTGCACGTGGCCCGCTCTCTGGGCCAGCGGCCGTTGCTGGCCGCTTTGGGCATCTGCAGAACGGCGTAAGCTGTACGTGGGCCCATACCTATCCCCTGATGAAACGGCGTGAGCAGGACTGCTGATGAGCTCGCGAGAGCACATGTGGTCGCAAACGGTTGCTACACATACTATGTACACCAGAAATCGAAGCTTCCGAGGGTAAAAGCACCAATGAACTGCAGACTGCGACCTCTACTGCGAAACTCGAGACCTCAGAAAGGAGAAGTGGAAGCTCTTAGGCTGGCATACTCGAAAGATGTCGAAAAGTACCATAGTAGCTCTAGCCCCTTGTACTACTACCTACCGACATACCTAACGTCCGACCGACCCACCCACGTACCCCACCTACCCACCTACCCACCTACCACCTACCCACCCACCCACCCTAGTAAGCCTGGACACCTACACACCTACCCACCCACCAACACCAACCTACCCACCCCCTCGTCCAGTCCCCTACGCTACCACCGTACCTACTTACCTAGGAACCTACCTACTACCTGTACAACCTACCGCTACTTCTACCTACTACTCCGCCTGCTGCTGCTGCCACTGCTATGCCTACGACGACTGCTGCGGCTACTACACTTACTACTACTACTACTACTACTACTACTACTACTACTACTACTACTACTACTACTACTACTACTACTACTACTACTACTACTACTACTACTACTACTACTACTACTACTACTACTACTACTACTACTACTACTACTACTACTACTACTACTACTACTACTACTACTACTACTACTACTACTACTACTACTACTACTACTACTGCTACTGCTACTACTACTACTACTACTACTACTACTACTACTACTGCTACTGCTACTGCTACGACTACTACTACTACTACTACTACTACTACTACTCTACTACTACTACTACTACTACTACTACTACTATACTACTACTACTACTACTACTACTACTACTACTACTACTACTACTACTACTACTACTACTACTACGAACTACTACTACTCCTCTACTACTACTGCTACTGCTACTGCTATACTACTACTACTACTACTACACTACTACTACTACTACTACTACTACTACTACTACTACTACTACTACTACTACTACTACTACTACTACTACTACTACTACTACTACTCCTACTCATACTCCAACCCCTACTTCTACCACTATAACCACTACTAAGACTACGACTACGACTTCTGCACGGACGACTATCATGAAGACGACGACTACCACTACCACGACTAACTACCAGTACTCACCGCAACTTTATGAGTACTCAGCGCAACTTTATGCTGAAGCCCGCTTGCACAGCGCGCTGGAACGTTAACGGGTCATCTAGAGTCTAGTCTACAGCTGGGCCATCTGGACATTCGGCATCGCCGAGTCATGCAGGCTGACCCCTCGTCGCGCTCTTCAGAAATGACCACCTGTGTGCAGTGTTTGGGTGCAGGAACAAGAGCGGCGTGCCACGATGCTGCCAAGCAGCTCTCTCGTGCCGTCCTGCGGCACATGTGGCCACAGCTCCTCGTTCAAAGGACCAGAATCTTGGACCCCTCGGCGCCTCTCCATGCCAGCCCTGGCTGCCCTGACAGCTGCGGCCTTTTTGCACAGCGGCAAATTCTCCGGGAGTCGGGTCTCTTCGGCATAGAGTCAGACATACTCAGACTGCATGCGCAGCTGCTGTCCACCCTGTGCTGTACAAAGAAAAACTTGTGCGCGCGCAAGCGGCCTCTGTGAGTGCTGAGCTACACAGGCACTTCGTTTCGGGACCGCGCGGACACACGGAAAGCGCCGGGGATGCTACTTTATAACGGACGCTCAAGTCGCGCTAAACCACTCAACTGCGCGACAGCTCAGCGCTGTATGGCTGTGCTGCACCTCCGTCTATACTGCTGCAAGCTGGCATGCAGCCTTTCGCAGTGCGCCCTGGCAGAAAGATGCAGAAAGGCGGTGATCGAGCAACGCAGTCGGTTGACAAGCAAAACACTGTGAGAAGGTCATCTTCCCGACAAGAAAAACCTGTCGGAAGGTCGACTTGGGCCTGCTTGAAATTCTACCGCAAAGCACCGCAACCGTCGCCTTGGCGTCTGAGTTCTCCGGGTCAAACCCCAGCGCTCGGCCAGCAGTCGATGTGGCACGTTGCACGAATGCCTGGCCAGGTACTAAGCAGCCAAAAAAGCCCGAACTAGGATGCCGTCTCGAATGTCCACACAGGAACAATGGGATGCGCTCATGACAGCACTCGGCGCGAAGGTGGTGCGGCTGCATGCGCGCTTAGCCTGTTTTCTGCGCAGGACTAAAGCATCTAGGAGCAAACGCCTGTAGATACTCTTGGGGCGCGATACATTCAGAGGGCCGGACTTTGCTAGCCGTGAAACAACGATTTCCAAGCGGTCACCGCATGGAAGGGAAATCCAAAGCCGTTCCGCAGGTTGTGCCAGCACATCAAAGGCAGATGGCCTCAGCTGCAGGGTGAGCTACTTGTCTTTTTCCTTCTCACTCGGTTGGAGAGGCTGTGCTGTCTCCTCGTCGTTCTCCTTCTCGGACATGTGCTTCTGCGGATACTCACTCGCCCACTCCTGGTCGTCACGCTGCGAACGTGACAATGTGGTAAAGTTCAGGATTGCCAGGACGATGATGCCCACGCTCGAGGTTGTTCCGACGGTTGCGAAGCGTTCCCAACAGTTCATCTCCACAAACATCAGGGCGATGGCCGTGCAAGAGCCGATCTGCTTCACCACGGAGTCCAGCATCTTCGCCACCAGGCCAGCCAGCCAAGCCTTGCAAACCATCAGCAACAGGACCACAACGGTGGAACTATCCCAGCCAGCGAAGAGAGCTCCCGGCAGCACCATGATGTCACTCAAAGTGGTAGGGAAGCCAGCTGTGGACTTGCTCATACCAAACAATATCGAAGAAAACAGAATGCTCGAGCAGTCCACGTGCACCTTTTGTATGTAAAAGTTGCAATGCTCTTGGTCGTCGTTTTTGAAATACCTCTCTAAGAACACAGATGCGAAGCTCTCGCAGCAACACATGCCCAAGATGTCAAGGCAACCCCACCACACATCTGCTGACCGGAGCGCGTTTGCTGGCTGTTGGAGAGTGCTCTGTGGAAGAGCCTGCCACACACTTCCTATCAACGTCATGGCTGCCAGGATCCAAAGCAAGAGCAACATCAGTAGGCTGATGATGTTGTTCATTCGCATCGGCGAGTTGAGCATCTGCATCATTCCTCGAGGAGCCTTCCAGGTCTTCCAAGTGTACATCGCAACCACACTGCAGAGGCAAAGAGAAGCGACGACTTGATGCAAGACTTGACCTTCTCTGGAGATCATGTACAGAATGACACCATTGCAGATCATGGCCAGGCACAGCCACTGTGCAAACGAGAAGAACTTGTTCATCACAACCCGAATGGCAATTGCCAACAGGAACAGGTTCATCTGAGAGAGAATGGATACTGCATCTGGAGGGACTCGAGTCAAAGCTTTGAACTTCAAGATCCCGGCCAACTGGAAGAAGACATTGACACACCCCACTCGACAGATTGCTTTCGCATTGAAGCATTTCTTCAGACCGTCTTTTTTTTCAATCACACCGGCCGCGAGAACGCCGATAATAAAAGAGGTTATCCCAGACAGAAGCATGACAGAAGACACTGCATAAGGAAAGTCCCTTCTGCTCCGACCTTTGGACCAGGCTTTGACAATAGAATCGTTTCCGGTGATCAGCACATATCCAAGGAAGGCAAAGCAGCTGGCCCATGTCCAATTGTATAGCGCAGGCACCGGTTCCGAAAGCCTCGCTGGCTTTGGTTGCTTCAGTGCAGCTCGCTTGGGATCTTTGAGGGGGCATGCTCTCAAACAGCGACCCATACGAGATGCGGCACAAGCAGCGGGCCGAGATCGCAGTCGAAGGCCGCAACACTGCTTCGTCTCGTTTGCTTTTTCAGTACCCCTTCGCTGACAGCTCGCCGAAAAAAGCCCAACGACCTGCAATTCCAGGCTTCAGAACTGCCATGTGCTTACCCACGCTGCAGCTGAGTGGCTCGGACCACCCAAAGACCTCTTCCGGACGACGATGTGCATTTGTGGTATCACTCATTGTACGCCGGAACCACTCGGCATCAGACCTGCATCGTCGTGAGCACGAAGACACGCACACGCAGACAAAGACACATACCGGCTCTCACACGCATGCCCACGCATCTGCATCCGCACACGCGCTCACTCCCCCAGCCACCCAGCCACCCAGCCACGCACGCACACTCACACTCTCACACACACGTACGCACACACAGGCAAGCACGAGGATGTGTGCGTAGTCTTCTGTCGGTGTTAAACGGTAGGTGCAGATCATTGGCGATGTTGCAACTGATGAAATTATTGTGCCAAGCGTCTCCGACGAGGAAACGGATCGGATCGAGCGAGCGTACCGATACTCCGTCAAAGATTTGGACCTCGGCGTGCAGTCCCAGAGACGCTCTTTCAATATGGGCCGGAAAAGACAAGCATGGCGCGATGAGCTGGATCCCGTCCGAAGTAACACTCAGAACTCAAAACTTCTCATGACCACACATTTGTTGGAGAGCGCAAAACCGCGTCTGCATCGTCTCCAGGTTTGATAGCCTTCGCAAGTTTCGTAAACCAGACGAAGGCCCTGCAATGGCCGCACATCAGCACCACAGTCACTACGTCGTTTCAACCGGAGAGGTCGCTTCCAGTTTTTTTCCCCAACAGCGAAGCGATGGGGTCTTCGGCCGTTGGGTTTTGGAGCGGGTTCCGGAGCGGGTTCCGGAGCGGGTTCCGGAGCGGGTTCGAGCCGGTTGCGGAGCGGGAAGCGGGTTCCGGGATCGGTTCCGGCACGGGTTCTGGGGCGGTTCCCGCGATTTCCGCAGTGGTTCCGGCACGGTGGTTTCGTGGTATTCGAAACGTTTCATGTGGTTTCGTGTGGCCAGAGTGGCACTCGAGATGTTTCATGTGGTTTTGGATGGCCAGCGTCGGTACTCGAGATTTCTTTATTGTATGTTTTATGTGGTTTGGTATGGCCAGCGTGGTACTTGAGATGTTTCACAGCGCGGTGCTCGAGATGCTTCATGTGGCTTCGAATCGTCAGCTTGGCACTTCGTGTGGCCAGGGCGAGACTGGACATGTTTCATGTGGTTTAGTGTGGCCAGCGTGGTAGTCGAGATGTTTCATGCAGTGTCCAGAGGTGTATTCGAGATGCGTCATGTGGTTTCGTGTGGCCAGCGTAATCGAGATAATTCATGTGGTCTCGTATGGCCAACGTGGTACTCCACATGTTTCATGTGGTTCCGTGTGCCCAATGTGGTGCTCGAGATGTTTCATGTGGTTTCGCGTGGACAGCATGGTACTCGAGATGTGTCATTTGGTCTCGTGTGGCCAGCGTGGCACTCGAGATGTTTCATGTCATGTGGTTTCGCGTGGCCGGTGTAGTACTCGAGATGTTTTATGCGGTTTCGTGTGGCCAGCATGGGACTGGAGATGTTCCATGTGGCTTCCTGTGGCCAGTGTGGTGCTCGAAATGTTTCGTGTAGTTTCCTGTGGCCGGTGTGGTGGTCGAGACATGAGGTTTCGTGTCGCAGCGTGGTAGTGGAGATGTTTCATGTGGTTTCGTGTAGCCAGCTTGGTATTCGAGATGCTTCATGCGGCTTTCTGTGGCCAGGGTGGTACTCGAGTTGTTTCATGTGGTGGTCAGCGTGGACTTCGAGATAATTCATGCGGTTTAGTGTGGCCAGCGTGGTAGTCGAGATGTTTCATGTGGTTTCATGTGGGGGCTGTCCTAAAACCGCTCTCTGTAAGTTTTAGGGGGCTTGGCTCACCTTTACTGGTCAACTACATCTTGTTGACTCTCGTATCCGTGCCATTTTATGACAGCCCATCACAAGACTGGTAGCTTTGCAGCGGTCGGTACACTCATCAGGCTTGATTCGTAGTTTGGTGCGGCTAGTGGCCGCCATGGGGTGGCAAGTCGAGCCTGGGATCTACTTTTCGGGCACAAAAGTGGAGACTTCATACAGAGGCTCAGCATGGTCACTTGCATCCTGAAACTCCTACGGTCGAGGGATTTGATGAGAAATCGGGTTCCCGGAGCGAGGGTCTAGATATTTCTTATTCACCTGGGATAAAATAAGAAATCTGGCTGGGAAGCAAAGATGTTTTTGAAGCAAAGAAGCTTCTACAGGGCAACATGTGGGTCTAGACAGAAGAAAATGTGCCTATCTCGCCGAAAAAGGACGATTTTGGGGTTTGGGCAGGCCACCACAAAGCAAAATCGCCTTATGTCGCCGAGATAGGACGATTTAGGGGTTTGGGCAGGCCACCACAAAGCAAATTCGCCTTATCTCACCGACATAGGACGATTTTGGGGTTGGGGGAGGCTTCCACAGAGGAAAACGTGCCCATCTTGCCAAGATAGGAGGATTTAGGGGTTTGGGCAATCGCCTTATCTCGCTGAGATAGGACGATTTTGGGGTTTGGGGAGGCTTCCACAGAGGAAAACGTGCCAATCTCGCAGGACGACTTTGGGGTTTGGGCAGGCCACCGCAAAGCAAAATCGCCTTATCTCGCCGAGATAGGACGATTTTGGGTTTTGGGAACGGCAGGCGCAGGCGGGCCAGGGCAGTTCCAAAGCCACGAAAAAAACTTTTTGAAGCCGTGTGAAGCTCAAAAGGTGGTTTTGGAACTGAACTGGACCGCCTTTGGGGTGAGCGTGACAGAGCCACTGCACACACAGGAGCACGAAGAATACTCTGTTCCTGACTTTGTGCGTTTGCACCCAGCAAATGCCTGTGTCATGGATCTTTTCCCAACATACCTGTGGAATTTTGAAGCACAGCGCATTCAGACGTGTAAACCTTTTTTCAAAGGAGCTGTGCCCAGCGGCGGTTCCGTAAACTAAAAAATGGGACCTACCAGATGCAGACTCCAGCATCATATGGTTGGAGCTTTCGCTTGACTTTCAAGCTTGTACACACGTTTGGCTGGCCCCAGCAAATGAAGCGGGTATAAGCAGGTCCTGGAGTCAATGCTGAAAGGGCTGCGCACCTTCTCGCACCAGCTGTTCGTCGGGTGCTACTGCTCTGGGGTTTGGGGACAAGGAAACGCGCAGCACGTTTCCCGTTCAGTGTGCACAGTCCGTTTCCTTAACGCCAAAAAGGCTAGTGCGCGTACGGTAGCGGTAAACTCTACAGCACGGCAGTGAGGCGCTCTCCTTTTTTGTCCGGTGGCGGGAAGCAGTCCGGGCTCAGGTGGCCCTGGTCAGAAAGCAGAACTCAGACCAGGACCAGAGCCGGATGCAGAGCAGATCCGCATTCTCGTCTCTGGCTGGAAAACCATCCCCAGATCCAGGGGAACCAGAGAGGAATGGGAAGGAAGGTGAAAGGGGACGGCGGCGGGTACAGAAAAGCTGCGGAAACGGATCCCCGCTCGAACCGGATGGCTTCAGCGGGGGCCGTTGCGTGCATCACCAAACACATCCGTTCAGGCACGGTACCGTTCAGTGTGCACAGTCCGTTTCCTCAACGCCAAAAAGGCTAGTGCGCGTACGGTAGCGGTAAACTCTACAGCACGGCAGTGAGGCGCTCTCCTTTTTTTGTCCGGTGGCGGGAAGCAGTCCGGGCTCAGGTGGCCCTGGTCAGAAAGCAGAACTCAGACCAGGACCAGAGCCGGATGCAGAGCAGATCCGCATTCTCGTCTCTGGCTGGAAAACCATCCCCAGATCCAGGGGAACCAGAGAGGAATGGGAAGGAAGGTGAAAGGGGACGGCGGCGGGTACAGAAAAGCTGCGGAAACGGATCCCCGCTCGAACCGGATGGCTTCAGCGGGGGCCGTTGCGTGCATCACCAAACACATCCGTTCAGGCACGGTACCGTTCAGTGTGCACAGTCCGTTTCCTCAACGCCAAAAAGGCTAGTGCGCGTACGGTAGCGGTAAACTCTACAGCACGGCAGTGAGGCGCTCTCCTTTTTTTGTCCGGTGGCGGGAAGCAGTCCGGGCTCAGGTGGCCCTGGTCAGAAAGCAGAACTCAGACCAGGACCAGAGCCGGATGCAGAGCAGATCCGCATTCTCATTTCTGGCTGGAAAACCAATGTAAGCCTCGAGCGGAAGCTTGACCACAGCCGTGGGACCAGCCAAAGAACGGATCAAGCTGAGGAAGAGCCACCCGGACACAAGAAACCGGAAAAGTCAGCAGCAGAAGGAAACAGGGACAGTTCGGGCGAACAGGGGAACTGGGTCCCAAGTGATCAAGTGTTCCTGAGACAACGCAAAGCCCAAGGACGTGGGATCGGCCGAGCGGCTGAGAGCGTCAGCAACGTCATTAGACAGGCCCGGAACATGATCGATATAAACAGAAATGCGACGACTCTGCTGGCAGAGCAGGAAGGAGCGGAGCACAGAGCAAAGTCCCTTGGCCATGGACAGGCCTTTCCAGCTCGCGGCGTCGGCGGCAGAATTGTCGCATTTGAAGATGCAGTGCACCGGAAGGTGCCCCGGTCCTAACAGGACGTCCAAGAGGACAACGAGAGCGCATTGCGCGAGAAGTTCCCAACTGGCAATGAAGGACTGGGCAGAAGCAGTTTCGGGGAACCAGGGGAACAGCTGATGCAATCCCTGCCGATCAAAGGATTGGCGGAAGAAGAGCTGGCGGCCATCCTGCAGCCGCACAAAACCGCCCAGCCCCGCTGCACGCTCGTCAGCACAAGCGTCCGCAAAGGCTTCGCAGGTGTAGAGGGGCGGGCGTAGCAAGGAGCGGACCGCCGTACCGGACTGGCAGAGATCCAACCAGAGCCGCAGGACTTCCAGAGAAGAGTCCGACAGAACACAAATCCCCGTGCGCGGGGAGGAAGATTGAAGCCAGATGCGGCGGGCATCGGGGGCTTGTGGCGGGAGATCGCCGCGGCAGGAGACAGTGGTTTGATTAAAACGTAGGATTCTAGAGCCCGGCGGGAGAGCCGCAATGCCAACCGGACGCAGCAACACAAGGTCCGGAGACAAGGCCTGCAGCAGCTCAGGCCAACGCTCGGGCTGAAGGGCGGTCATGGTTGGCAGCAGGGAGTGTTGGTCGGAATACAGCGGTGCCAGAGACGCACGAAAGGTGCGGAAAAGGGAAGAGAGCCACAGCAGTTTTCCCGTCACACGCTCCAGCAGGTGGCAGGAGCAGCGTTTAGACTGGAGAGCCTGACGAAGCAGAGCACAAAGTCGTTGAAACTTGCCGGGGTCCAGTCGTACGCAGAAGTGAGACAAGTTGAACTCCCAGCCAATCCAAACGACACGAGGACCCAGGGCGGCTTTGTGCCAAGACATGGGCACACGCAGAACCAGAAGAAGGACGATGATCAACGAGGCCCAAAGAGGGGCAGAGATGGCATCCAGAAGCGCCAGAATGTCATCCACATAGATCTGGGCCGAGTGCCTGACGCGGACAATGCGGTGAACCAACCGCAGTAGAAGACCGGCAGCACGCGCCCAGTAAAAAGAGGAAACGCGAGCACAAAAATTGAGTGTGAGACATTGGTAAAGTTTTCCGCGGTGACGGAAACAAAGAAGGCCGCGATCAGCCGCACGTATAAGAATTGGGCGATGCGCCTTGGCAACGTCCAGGATCAGAGCCACTAGACGTTCCATGGAGTCGGAAAGAGGCATGCAGAAGAAAACGTCAGACAAAGTAGGGTTGGCAGACCGGTTGGGCAGAGCAGTGTTGCTCGTGACCCCAGAGACGGAGCTGTCCACGACCAGACGCGGGGGACGTCCTTCAGCCAAAACAACCCCTAGCTTGCCGACCGCCGTACAGGTGTAGCGGCGGCGCAACTCACTATCCCCTCCCGGCACCATGAGCAATCCAACCTTCGGCCAGCTCGGCTTCAAGCAACTCATCCACCACGTCCACATGATCAATGGCGGACTTCCAGGCGGACTCACAATGTTGAAGCGGGATAACCGTGGCGTCTGGAGCAGAGGGAGGATGCATGACCGGACACGGGGGAATAAGTTTAGGCACACCTAGAGGGACACCCTCACGCAACAAATCGAAGAAGCCCGTGTCGGGGTCGGCACAAAGTAAAGAGAGGCAGTGCCAAAGGTTAAGACGGAAAGGCTGCCCTTCTTGCACCAGTAGCAGACGCTGCCAGGTGGAGTCGTCGTCGACGTGAAGGAAGGAGCGCAAATCGTCCAGAAACGGAGCAACCTCCTCCTCAGCCAGAGGAGGAGACTTGGACCCAGAATTGAGGGAGGAAGCGATGCGGTGAGCAAGGCCACCAGAAAGCAGTCTCTTGGACCATGCCGCTCTCAGGGCGGACAGTGGATCAGAAGAGACCGGCACCGGGGATGAGCAGGGCACGGGGGAGACAACAAGGTGCGAAGACGACGATGACTGAGGCAGGCGGAGGAGCTTGCACAAGTGAGCCGGACGCGGAGTGCACGGCATCCGGAGGCAGAGATGGGCCCGCCCCAGGGCCGAGGGCCGCGGGCAACGCCAGGCCGTGTTGCATCTCGGCCTCGGCGAGCAGACCGGAGGACTGACCTGGCAGCGGCAGGAGAACCAGCGCACACAGGCACAACCACACGGCCTGCGAGGAAGAGGTCGACGTCGATGTCCTGACAGGGCAAAAAAGAAAGAAAAAGCCAAGACCCGAAGACAAAGGGCAGACCGGCAGGACCGACAGGGGACGAAGAACTTTTTTGCCCGTAGAGCGGAAAAGTCGATCGCGGCAGGCAGGCGGGTGGATGCTAAGATCCAGCCGCAGAGAGAGAGGGGAGCCGGGGGCTGTGCTGACGCGGATCCTCCAGCCTTCCCTGGAGCTCCAGGGAGAGATTCACGTCGACCCATTGGTACTGGTCCGGAGCCAGGGTTGGAGGGTCAAGCTGCCCAGAAATCGTGGGCCCAGTGGCTTCCAAGGCAGTAGCGGGCGCCGTGACCTCCGGAGCCGGAGGCGGTGCGCCGCTGCCAGCCGCCACATCCGCCAGCGGATTAGAACGCTCCGGAGCGGCAGGCGGAGCATTCATGTTAGGGTACGGAAGCGGACACGCCTTCTGCTGTCCCGCATGAATTGCACCCTTAACGGGTGGCTCCTTGACCGGCGGACCAGCACGACCCCCAACAGAGGGAGGCGGGGTCGGCACTAGCGGAGGCAGAGCGGGTGCGGTGCTGCCATCGTACCAGCCAAGCCTGGCGAAAATGGCGACAAAGTACCCGCGCTCAAACGGAGCAGGTCGGAGGTGGGGAGGCTCGAAAACGCAGCGGCGATGGCCGGTTCCGGAGAATCAAGGAACGACACGATGTCGCTCCAAGCGGCAGACGGCGGAGCCGGAGCGGACGCCTTTGGCTCGGCAGAGGCGGCCAAGGTTCCTGTCTCCGGCTCCAGAAACGGAGCCGGTTCAACCTCTGCAGGGGCGACCGGAACATCTGTTTCAGAAGCGGCGTCTGCAAGGGAGGTAGGGGACGGGGCCGGCCCCGGACCAGCGGCAGGAGCCTCAGCGGAGCGCACACGACGTGGATCCGGAGAAGTCGTGGCCTCAGAAGGTGAGGGCTCAGAAGAGCGGTCCGGAGCAGGGCCAGGAGCGGATGAAGCCGTCATCGTTGGCAGACGGAGGGAAAGGACGAAGGGGCACAACGGACGTGAGCAAGACGGCTGCGGAATGAAACAAGTCCCTCAGCGGCAGGGCACTGGAAAACAAGACCTGTCACCTCGGAGCACAGGGTCCTGAGGAGGAGACGAAGTCCCCAGAAGCCGCACAGAAGGGGACCGCGAGCGACGACCTGACAAAGGCAGGTGCACCGACTCGAGAAGGCAACGGCAGCGGTCAGAAGCTGAGCCGGCTGCGCGAAACCGAAGGTGAAGATCTTGGACCTTCAGGGCAGAACATGAATCAGGCCCAGCGGTCAGCAAAGAGGACTGAGCCGGCAGCGGCGGCGATCACGTGAGACAGAAGAGCCTGCCATAAAGGCAAAGCAGGACGCGGACAAACAGTCGGAAGATCCGGCCTGAAGTGTCGCGGCAGTCAGAAGACGTCGAGCTGTGACGTGCACGACGTCGTCCCCGTCGTCTGCCTTCCCAAGAAGGGCAGAAGCGAGCAGAGACAACGGAGGCAGAGTAAAGTCCAATCTGGCCTCGAGCCATCCAGGAACGGGAATCCAGGAGACTACAGAAAAGCTGCGGAAACGGATCCCCGCTCGAACAGGATGGCTTCAGCGGGGGCCGTTGCGTGCATCACCAAACACATCCGTTCAGGCACGGTACCGTGTCATCACTTAATTCTCCTGGTTCACGTAAGGCTGCTGGCAACGCCTTTCGAGCCTGTTTTTTACAACCAGTTTCGGTGCACAAGTTGCTCACTCAAGCAGCGCTAGATTCGCAATTGAACAATAATCTCATAAGCGGAGGTGCATCCCTGACTTCATGCAATTCTCTGCCCAGACTTATCTGGACGCCACTTCCAAGGCAACGTCTGTGGCGGAAGCAGGCGGTTTTTGACTTGCCAGCTCCTACGAGCATGCGGCAGTGCGCTTCGCACAAGGCACATGCACATGCGGTTCAGTGGAGTGATGAAGAAAAATTGGATCTCGAGGAAGCGTGGGATTGGAGACACCGAGTTCGCATTGAAAAACGCCTTTTACATAACAGGACAGCCCCATCGCTGCACAAACACGTGTTAGGGCCCTTCGACGAAGGCACCGATCTTTGCTGCACTGTTTGCGAGAAGCGCACGGTGCGAGGAAAAAATGTCAAGATTCCTAGAGGAGAAATGTGGCGGACTTCAAGACTGCGGCGAGGAACGGGGCCACAGGGAAGCACAAGCGTGAAGCTGGCCTACAGACAGGAGCTCGCTCGCAAACACAATGAGAAGGCTCAGGCGCAAGCTCCGCATGTCTTGGTTGCACCAACTGATATGCAGCAAGGTGTGACTTGCACATTCGTGTCATGAGGAAGCACCCGAAGCTTGGAGAAGACCTCCTAAATTCACGCGGCAATGTTGCCCCTGCAATGCGGGTGAGGATGCTTAGGCGCCGCTATGTGGTCGATTTAAGTATCGTTTCAGAATCTTTGCATGCTTTTCAACGGGAAGCTTTTTTCACTTGCATTGACCACAGCAATCGCTTAGCGACTGCAATTTGCGCATTCCAAGTGACACTTCCTTGACCTTTTGCATGATGCACCCCATGCTGTGCATTCAGAGTTATGGGAAACCAGCCCGTGCAGTATAGGAGCCTTTGCTCCGAACCATGTGCTCATGTTAGCGCAGAACCCCGCACTCGGGTACTGCACACCACCCTGGGTGCACGAAGAGAAAGATTCTCGCTGCGTCAAGGTCTTTGGGACGCCCTGCTGGCTGCTCGTGCGAAGGACCTTCAAGTCAGCTTCGAAGTTTTTCCGCAGCAGGCTCTGCATTCCGGAGCAGGGGTTCCGTTCTGCAGTGTGGTTGCGGAGCGGTTCCGGAGTGGGTTCTGGAGCGGTTCCGGGGAAGGTTCTGGAAAGGTTCCGGAGCGGGTTTTGGAGCAGGTTCCGGAGCGGGATCTGGAGCGGCTTTCCGGAGCGGCTTCCGGAGCATTTCCGGAGCGGGTTCCCCGCTCGCTTAGACCAAAACCATTGTGCCAAGCCTCGCAAGACGCATGGTCACCAAAGACTATGGCATACAGTGTCTTATGTCTTACGCAGTCTTAGCACAAGGTTTGTTACGGTGATATCATAACATCCATTTGCCATCAGCTGTTGGGGCTTCAGTGGGCTTATTTAACAGAGCCTGGTATAACCTGTAGTGACACAGGTGCCGTCGAGTGGCTCCTCGTGCTGCAAACTGGGCTGATCCCGGACGTCCAGCTCGGGCCTGGGGCACCGCACCGCAGCTGCGGAGCGGCTACGGCCGAAAAACTCCGAAAGCCGCGTTGACTGTTTGGAAAATATCTCGAAACAGACCCGGCACCGGGAGGCACTGGGCATGACTTCCGGCAGCTCATCCAAGTTGTCCGGCAGGTCTACCGCCCTTAGTTACGTCGGTGTTTCGCATTGTCTTGTGTTCCAGGGGTGGTTTCTCCATCAGACTTATTCACTTCCGCCTTGCCTGCCTGTTCAGCAACGTAGTGACATATACCCGATCACCTTCGATGCTTTGTCAATTTCCTCTTGAAGCCCTGATTGATGTCCGACGCCCCTCCAGAAATCCCACGTCCTAAACTTGACACCCGAGCTGAAACCCTCAGGCCCTTAAGCCTTAAGCTTAAACCTTACGATAAAGTCAAGTGCACCTTCTACCCTAAACGGGTAAAAACCAAAAAACTGAGGACTGAACCACACAGAACCCTGAAGCCCCGCCCGTCGATAACACGGATCCTGAATGCGAGACTTAAAGCCCCGAAGCCGGCAACCCGGAAACCGTACGTAAACCCTGGCGTAAGTTCCAGTGCAGCAGCGTGTTTCGCTCGACTCGCGGGTGCTTGAATCTCTGGCGTACTAATTGCACGGTTCACATCTGCACTCCGAGTCTCAGGCTCCAAATCTGAGGTCGAAATCTGAAGAACATCAAACTAAACCAGGCCGGACAGAAAACCATGTCCAGAAAAAGCATTTCGCACAACACACATCCGGCAGCTATTGGCGGTTGGAATCAAAGCAGCTCTGACGAGGAGGGAAAAGCCGCCGGCGAGATTGAGGAGCTTTTTCGCTGCAAGGGCCTAGCTCCGCTGGACTGCGACGGCCCGACCGATGCACCGACCGTTGCAGTCGTCGACGGCTCATCGAAGTCTGAAGGATCTGCAGCACCCCTTAGCTACAATGAAAGCGAGAGCAACCATCCAATGCCCTCTGCCCAAAGCCTGACACATTGCGTATGAGCAGCTCGGACGAGGGAGCAAAGGCCTCCGCTGTAATCGAAGAGCGTCTCCTCTGCAAAGGCCCGCTTCCACTGCTGCTCGCCATGGGACAGCATTAGCACGAGCTCAAAGCACAGCTGTGCGGTTGCAATTGAATTACAGGCAAATACAGACTTGCAAAGACAATGACGACCCACGGAGGCAGATGACAGTGGTTCGCTCGGGATTTCTGTGGATGATTCTGAGGACGATAGCTCTGGTGCTGAGAGTGGGGTTGGTTGTGGAGGCGATGGTGAAGATGCTGCGTGGGAATACTCGCGAAGCTAAGTCGATCTTGGGCCCAAAAGCAAGCAGCACGCAACAGGAGTCTGCCTTTTCTCAGAGCGAGAGAGCGAGAGAGAGAGAGAGAGAGAGAGAGAGACAGACAGAGACAGACAGAGACAGACAGAGACAGACAGAGAGAGAGAGAGAGGGAGGGAGGGAGGGAGGGAGGGAGGGAGGGAGGGAGAGAGAGAGCGCCCTCTCTTTTTGGGAATTCTTCGATGCGAGAGAGCGGACGCTGCTTTTGGCGGCCTTGGAGCCTCCACCGCCCTGGCCCTCCTCTTCCTCTGCTTCTGCCACATGCAGCTCCTGCACTGCTCTCTGCTCTTCGCGGGGTTCACCCGACATGGAAACGGCGGCCGCAGACTGTGGGTCTTGCCCCCCCCCCGGGGTTTGCCACGGTCCAGGAGAGCTGCTCTCGCCAGCACCTCCGCACAGAGCTTGTAGACTTCCCGTCCTTGCAACCGCACATCTCTCGGTTTCGGCAGGCTTACATGAACACCTCTCCCCTCCGGACTATGCAGAATTCTTGTATGTGCAGCTGAAGATCTGGGATACCATGCCGGGAAAGCATCGGCCCCATCTTCGCCGAGCACCTGACAGCACGGCGGGTCTTCTCCAAGCTTCGTTCGCACACTCTTCCTCTTCTCGAGCCCAAGACCGCACCAAAAGCCAAACCGCGAGCATAGCAATCGCCAGCTCCATCCAGGTCCTCTGCCTGTCATCAGACGCTGAAGCGGGTGTTTTCGGAAGCATGCAAGTGGCGGTATTGCAGCCGCCGTTGCAGTGATGAATCGGGATTGTGCTGGAATCGAGGGGTGGAGGGTGTGGTAGGGGGTGGGGGTGGGGTGGAGGGGGCGGCGGCGGGGGCGGGGGCGGTGGGGGCGGCGGGGGCGGCGGGGGCGGTGAGGGCGGTGGGGGCGGTGGGGGCGGGACAGTGGGGGCGGTGGGGGCGGTGGGGGCGTTGGGGGCGGTGGGGTGGGGGTGCTGGGGGACGACGACTACTACTACTTCTTCTACAACTACTACTTCTTCTTCTCCAAATGCTACAACTACTACCACTACTACGACAACTACAACAACGACAAACACTACTACTACCACTACTACCACTACTACCACTACTTTACTACTACTTCTGCCCCTACTTCCCCTACTACCACTACTACCACTGCTACCACTACTGCCACTACTGCCACTACTGCCACTACTGCCACTATGCTGCTACTACTACTACTACTACTACTACTACTACTACTACTACTACTACTACTACTACTACTTCTGCTACTACGACGACTACTACGACTACTCCTGCTGCTACTACTACTACTACTACTACTACTACTACTACTACTACTACTACTACCAGTACGGATCAGCAACATCAGGATCATTTTCTGCGGCCTCAAGTGCCATGTCACCTCAGTCAATGAGTGTTTTTCGTTCGCCGTTGCTGAAGGCCATTGAAGATTTGTGGCAGGTCCACTCGGCTCACCAATCATCTTTTCAAACTCGCCAGCTTCAGTCTAGGCGTCCCGCCGGCTCGCTTCCATCCGAAGATGGCCGCAGTTCGCTCGATCGGGGACATAGTCTCTGCCTCCTCCTCGACCTCGCTGCACATCGATACGGTGCGATCTCTGCAGGTGCTCAGCCGCTCACGAACACCCGGCCTCTCGAAGGAAGGTCCTCCGGAGACTCTCGGCTTCGGGAGTCTCTGCCTGGCTGTGGCTACGACTTCAGCTTCGAGCTGTGAAGGTCCCTCTCCCGGCCTGTTCACCGAAACCAACATCTCGCCAAAAGCCAGGCTTCAGAGCAGACTCTTTGGGCACGCAACACTCACAGCCCTCCGCATGGGCTGCATTGAATGCGCCCGCCATATCGATTCTGCCTGCACACGAGCAGCAGCACACTAAAGCATCTTTCCAATGCAACGACAGCATTACGGCGAGCTGAGAACGGCTGAGCTGTCTGTCACCTCTGGCTGCCATGCGCTGCTCTGCAGCAAACGGGGCTGGAGGAGGGAGAATATCCTGCGCCAAGGAGCAGTGCTACGGCTTTGCGAAGCAACCGTACAGACATGCTATCTTTATCTCTGGTGCGCCTTGGGTGTGCAGACTAAACAACTCTAAATCTAGAATGCGACGTCTACAACACCCATACCGGAAAGAAGCCTCCTCTGGCAATGCATGGAGCGCCATGGGCCTCGGTTTGTTCAAGGCCCTTCTTCCCCGCCACTCGCCTGTCATCTCTGCCTTCGCAACATGCTGGGATCTGGGCCCTTGCGCGTCGGCCGAAAGGTTGGATGTGGTGCAGAAGGCAGGTATGTACAAGGCCAAGCGTTGTAGCTGTTGTAGCCAGATCTTGGCTGAATGAGTCTACTGCCTGAACTGCGGCTATCCAAAGTTGACGTGTCATCGCATAACTCGCATCTGCGAGCCTGCACGAGCGGGCTAAGTTGTGCGCGGGCCAGCAGAACTACTTTGGCAATCACAGCGAAGCGCTCCGGGTGTCGGTGGCTTTGCTCCGGCACTTCCTCTGAATCTGCAGGCCCATCGCGCCTACAGTGAGCATGGCTAACTTCAATACCCAAGCAAGGTCCACCTGCCTCTGGAACATGAGGAGGTAATTCCTTGGCGTTTTCGTCATGAGAAGATCGAACTTCGAACCCAAGTTGAAGGCAAGACGATGCAGGCTGCAAACGAGAGTCCAGGAGCCGATGACCTTCCTGTCGGTCGCCTGCAAAGGATGTGGAAAGAGAAAAAATGATTTTTTGTATAGAAGCAGAGAGGCTCAACAGTGGAATCCTGGCCTCACAGCCTGCTCGGCCCAGGTACTCAGTGCGCGAGTCATCGAAGCGCCACCAGCTCAGCGGCGTTGCAAATGGGATCGCTCCGGCTCTTTACGACATGCCAAAGCCAAGCTGCCCATCCGCTCGGCGACAAGAAGCCTGAGTTGAGACGTGGCCACGAAGCTCAGTCGAATTGTCGTTGTCGAGACACGCTCCGATATTCCAGCAAACTGCCATGAAGTTGGAGCTTCCCGAAATCCTCAATTCTTTGCCTTTATCCCAGAGACCCTCGATGCATTGATCAGTCCATCCTGCTTCCTGCATGCTCCTCTTTATCCTGTTACTAGTAGACATGGAATCGAGACATGTGCAGGCACCAGGATGTCTACATATCCAGGCGTCGGGGTGTCTTCAAACAGACTGATCTGAAGATAAAGAAGCCAAAGACTATGTTATCAGCATCATGCACCCTGCATGCTGCGCAGTTGCTGTGTAGTGCCCGGAAAACGGCGACGAACCTATCAGATTTATCTGGGCCAGCTGTTTGCGGGCAACAAGAACCATTCCTGTCAACACGAGACGGTCGCCTACATGATCCACCGCAGCAAACAAATCCTCAGCTGTTCTCTGCTCAGCACATCGCACCACACAAGTACCACAAGCTATCTGCATTTTCTGGCTTGGGAATCGTGCATATTGCAAATCCGCGCGTTGGGGCGACCTTGCCACAGTCAACATCTAAAGATGAGAGCTCCTAACCTCTTTCTGGCCACTTGCCATCCACTTGCTGCAAGTAAGCAGCGAACATACCAAGCCGCAGCAATGCTAATTCCGAAGGCTGGCGCATGACGAGTATGGAGATGCATAAGTCATGCATAGGCTGCCAGCAGTTTGGGGACGAAGTCTTGAAGGTCCAGCCGCTCTGATGGCAGTCCGACCTATATATGCTTCGTGAAGTCTGCGACGGTGCCTACCAGCTGAAACGGACAGGCCTCACCCTCGATCTTCCATGTGGGAGTACCCCAAGTTCTTGCCTTCACCGGAGTGCGAGGGAAATTACGCGACTGTCCAGGCATCGGTACTATGGCCACGCCTCGAATCCAAAGCGCTTGAGATGCACGAACAGCAGCAGCGGCAGCTTCCTTAATCTCCACATGACTCACGGTGTTGCCCGCATCTATATGTGCTCTTCCCGTAACAAGGCCCTTTTCCAAGACCAAGAGACTGAGATCCACTGTTGCTCATCAACTCATGTTTCTGGCAGCGCGCAAACTTTTTACGTCACCGCCGTATCAGCATCAGGAGCTGGTACAGACACCTTCGCCTCCGAGAACAGGCGAGCAATGGCACCAGCACATAAAATCGTCAGGCGAAACGCTGCCTTGGCGGAAGCTGGGTTGGCTGCTACCTGCGCACCACTCAAAGAAGTGTTTGCCTTGGCCAAGGCTGGCAAATGAGACAAACGCGCCTCGTCAGCCAGACCCAGGACAAGCTCCCGGAAGTAGGCCAAGCGGAATTGCCGTTTTCGCAGCCGCATACCGGCTTTGACCTCGCTTCGAGATGCACACAGGCTTTGGACTCCATGACGAAGAGCATGGACAAGCAGCCCATTCTGACAGTGTCAGGGATGCAAAGACCTCAGCACGGGTGCTGACAGCTGCACCACAGACGAGAATCCATTACAACCGAGCTTGCTACATTCACCACAAGTGTCATGTTGTAGAGATAGTTTGCGTTGCCTTCACGAGACTGAGAAGCACTAGATCACTGGATGCCACTCAGCACAGCTGCACCCGCATCGTTTTGAGGAGGCGACCTGCATTTCTGCCCAACCAAACCTGAGTGCCACCCTTGAGCGAGGGGTTGGTCTGCAACCTTTTCTTGAGCATGGAACTGCCACCATCGTAGGAACCATCGACAGGCCAAACATAACGCCACTCAGAAGGAACGCGAAGTAGTGCCTGGCCAAGAGATGCCAAGAGCACAGCGAAGCCGCAGAAGTGATTTGTCTTTGACTTTGAAGATTTGAGGATGTTTTTTGGGGGGGGCCAAGGCTGTGTCAGTGCGGCTGGCTCTCTCGGATGAGCTCCGCTTGCACGAGCATGGCCGACACCATCAACGCGTAGTCACCTCCGCTAGAACACTGCGTCAAAAACAGAGCCAAGGAAGAACGTTGGAAGCTACTTCGATGCGGCTCCGGCACTTGCTGTGGGATAGGGCTTGAAGAGCGCAATCTGGTTCCAACGCACACATGGTTCTTCTCGCCGGGCTCACGACAAACCCAATTTAGGATGGCACCATGCCAATCGCAGCGCTGCAGTGGATGAAGGGCCTCAAACGGTGTGGCAGGTAATGTCAGCATGCGACTCGTCGTGAGAACAGTGCCCTGTCGGCGCATAGCTGCCTAGACGGAGGTGGAGTGGGACCTCACGAGATCAGTAGAAAATCGGGACCTGCAGGCGTGTGAGCTAACAAGCAAGGTTCTTTGCGCTAGGGCTGCACGCTGGGTAGAAGAGAATATGGGCGTGGAACGCAAAGACGAACAGCAAGTAATAGCGCTGAAAGACCTAGTCAAAGCAAAAACAGCACTTGGCAATGGTCCTCCAACATCCTGACGGGGGCTGGCCTCAATGAAGAAGTACCAGAAAAAACCAGTATTTGGCGTCAGGTCGCGTATGCTGAGTACCGACAAGAAAGCAGCCTCAGCAAATTGCAGAGACAAGGACATTTAGGAGGAGCGCTTCTGCGGCCTCTAAGAACTGGAGCTCACCGGCCATGGCAGCCACCGACGCCTGGCCATGGCGAAGATGCCGACGGCACACCGACCGCACTAAGAATTGACAATCGAGCAAACAGCACTCCCAGAAGGCATACAAAGGAGCCGAAGACGACTGCCGCGAAGGAAGCCTGACAGCATGAGAGATCACATCTTTCAGGCCGATGAGCCTTTGTGGCCATGCGGCGCTGTAGAGGAGGAAGCCAAGGTTGATCTGCGAAACATCGCTTTCTGTGTCGATGCTTTTGCTTTGTGCTGTTTTCGTTTTGCCTCCAGATTTGGAACCCATGCCGGCGAGACGACATTGCCCTTTGTCAAAGTCAATGCTTCATACCTGGCAACACGAAGTCACTGCGGTCTGCAAGCATGGCATCTGTTCATGGGCAATGGAGAAAACAACTGAGCCCAGGCGAGACAAGACACTCCGTGCGGTCTGCGCGGTCCGTGCCGTCGTCTTTGGCTCTTTGCGTGCGACTTTGCCTTCGCAAAGGGCAGTCCGAAGAATGGCGAACACCAGCCTTGCATCCCCTTGCGAGCTTGCCAAGCCGCTGGTTGTAGGCCAGGCAAGCACACGGCAAAACGAGCAAGACCGGTGAAAATGGACAAACCTAAGAGCTGGCATCATGTCGCATCAGCCGGTGGGCTGCGAGAGGTTAAGCTTGCAGCATAGAGTGACAAGGCAATTCCTGCGGCGGATACTCCGCCTCTGCCGGCCTGAGTCTCAAAATATCGTGAGAGTTCTTGGTGTCCGGGTGCATATGCCTAATATGTATGATCAATGCAATTTACCCGAAATACACTTCTTCGAAAGGTTACCGGTTGCCGCTACCGCTTTGTGCCAAACACACATCGCAAAGTCGCATAGCCCTTCGTAATACCATTGTACACGCCAGACGTGCATGTTCAGATCGCACATTCGGTCATATACACATGCATATACATGCAGACAGCCAGACAGACAGACAGACAGACAGACAGACAGAGAGCGAGTTCGCATGAGTGCGACTGCGCATGCAACTGCATGCGCTGCGAGTGCACAACTTCCCTCAGGATGCCAACGCTACTCAGAGGCTCGCCCCCGCTGCCACGACAGCGAAGATCATGAAGAGATGCTGCAAGTTCTGCACCGATAGCGCCACACCTGAACACACTGCGACTGCTAGCAACCCTTCTCTGAAAACCGGTGGCAAGTCTGCATATCTACTTGCTTGCTTGGCCAGTGGCAGCTTGAAACTGTCAAGGGGTTCAGGAGATAAAACAAGCCTCAGGCATGCATCCTGAACGGAATCTGACTTACACAAGCTGCTGAGAAGGTCCGAACCAACGAAGGCCGGACTCATGACATCCTGTGTCACTGAGAAGACAGGCTGGTCTGACTGGGCTGCATGTCTTCACATCCAGTCCTCGAGACCTTCTGCAACTTGGATAGCTGGGAGGTTCGTGCCGCTGGCGACCAACGTCAACGATCTGAGAAAGCACAGCTTAAGATCCGCAACAGAAGTCTGCGCAAGTCGGATATCGTGGCTACGCAAGATGTTGATGCTCGCTCTCGATGTAATGGCTTTGTCTTTGATTTGTGGATGCATGCGCCTTTGGCGTGTAGGAGCAAGCCACAAATACGACTGACGCAGGCTACAACTGCTTGAATGTCAACTCTGCCACGTTTGGCATCATGTGCCGGATCTTGAAAAAAATCGACATCTCTGCCGATCCAAGCCCTTAGGCACCGGAACTGGATATTGTACACGAAGGGTGAGAACCAATCCGTATCGAAATGTCACAGAGCTTATTGCGGTAGCAAGGATTATCCGAAGCAGCATGTAGCATCTTAGAGCCGCACACTGCCGAAACGATTGCTGCTGCCATGCTTGTCACAAGCGTCGCAGCGAAACTACAGGTTCTGTCGGCTCCAAGGTCTCAAAAAGCGCTGGCGAACCACTGCTTCGAGTAGATCACTATACTAAAGACACGATTGCTAACCTCGGCAATGCCGCTCCTCTGCACGATTCGAAGGTGCCGATCAAACCTCTTTGCATCGTTTATGTTCGTGATGTTCGTGGGGGTTATCTGCGTCAATGTGCCCCAACATGCTGTTCATTGTCAGGATATCGTCCTTGATTCCCGCAAGCTCCTGGTGCACAAACTTGTGAAACTGATCTGCAGCCTGTATGATCCATGCTTGGTCCTGCAAAATCTTGACCACGTCGATTGCTGTTGCATGCCCACGCAAGCGCAAACATCCCATTAAAAACTCTTCGACTTCCACGGACCCGCCAGCATCTTGATCCAGAAGCTTAAAAAAAGACCAAGCATCCCAGACGTCCAAACCCAATGTTTGAAAATACTGCTGCACCGCAGGCGACTTCAACTTCTCTTCGAACCTCAGTCAACAACGAGCAGAGTCACGCACCGAGGCTCGGGAAAAAATCGTGTATATGAAACTCCTCATTCTACATACAAAAGGATGCAAGGAACATCTCGTATGTGATTGCTCCCGTGCTCTCACTACCCAGCTGATTGAACAGCGCATTGATTTTTTGCAAGTGGGACTGCTTGTCGTCCAAAATATTCTGCACCATCATCGCCTGGTCACTTTGCGCACTGTCCTTGGAAACATGATTGGAACTCTGGCCTGCAACACGTGATGAGAGACCTTATGTTACACCTTTAAAAAGCTCCAACACGGCTTGCAATACAACAATCGCATAATGATAGCTTGGGAGCGATCGCTGACTGGCAAAAAACTCCCGTAACCACATTGAGCCTGGGGTGCGGCGGTATGAGCACCATCAAGTATACAAAACACAACCCAAAAGTTCCAACAAACCTATGAACCCCATACTATGCAACAAGCTGCAGACTTTTTGCTCAAGCCGAAAAAAGGATGTCCGACCACGAACATTGAATGTGAGGCTGAGTGCTGATGTAAGCCTGCAACATTTTGAGACTCACATAGATCCAAGAGCATAACAACATTTTGCATCCCTATCGTTTAGTAGCCATCCCATCTATGAATCACACAAGGAGCACTTTTGTCAGCAAGAGATGAACGAATTCTTTCCAGAAGCGTACACTGCAGCACCTGGCTGCAATCACTTTTTTGTTCCAACTGGCGTGGCATACATTGACAAAAGCGTTTGGGCTCCGGGGACCGAAAGTTCTCTAACATCCCTCCCCATGTCTCTGTCATCTGATACGCTGCATCCCCGAACATCCGTACTAGGCGAAGACACCGTAGGCTCCGCAGGCAAGCGCTTGGTCAACGCAGTGTCTGGGATGCACAACACAGCAGCAGCCTGAAAAGCTGCGGCACATCTGAGTTTGCTTTGTTGGCGGCTCCGGGGTAAGGAGCAATGGCAAGACTTA